ACTTCCTCCCAGCACACTGATATAACAGACAGGAAAGTGGGAGTCTGGATCAGCAGCAGCCCACTCCTATCAGCCTCATTCAGCCCCACTGCAACATGCTCCCATTCCCACTGGACCCAAGGAAAGCCCTTTCTGCGCCCACATGGTAGGTAGGAGGAGGGTGGTAATATATGTATTTATTTTTTTCTGTGTGTATGTCTGTATGTGTATTTGTCTGTGTGTTTATGAATCTGTGTGAATAAAAAAAAAAAATACTTTGTGTGTGAGAGAATGTGTCTGTCAGTGAATGTGTGTCATTCTGTATGTTTGTGTATATCTGTGTCTGTGTGTATCCATCTGTCAGTGCATGTACATGTTTAGGTCACATGGTAATGGTGTTTTTACTTACCTTTTTTTCCCAATGACATGCCCGTCTTGCTACAGCTTGCACGCCTCCATAGCTGAGATCATTCTGCACTAATCAGCATCTCCTCATAGAGATGCTTTAAATCAGTGCATCTCTATGGGGAACGTTCAGCTCCTACATGTAGAGCATGCAGAAACTTTAGTTAGGAGTTTGTTTGTTTTTCAACAACAAATATACAATTCTTAAAGGAATAGGCTATAGACACCAGAGCCATTACATTAAGCTACAGTGGTTCTGGTGACTATAGTGTTCCTTTAAGAATTTTATTTTTGTTGTTGAGAAAAAAACTGGCTCCCAACTTTTTTAGCTGGCTTCTATATCTAAAGCAAATTTGTCAAGAACTGTACTAGAATACTTATATTCCCATGTCTATGACTTTGCATAGCTTAGTATCTCTCTCAATAGTAAATCTAGACATGTTATGCTTAGCCTGTACTCTACACTACATTGAAAAATTGTGCCATATACTCTAATGCCTCGTAACTTTAATGCTTTGTCATTCACTGTCTTGCAAATGCTGGTAGGCATTGTAACATTTTCTGTTAATCGTATGCACACAAAAATAAAGAATTAAAAAAAAATTATTACAGTAAAAGCAACAAAAAAAGTGCAATTGCATGCTTGCATTAAAAGTAGCAGGTGAGGAGTTATGATTATCTCCTGAACTTGTACTAAAAAGCATTAATGCAAGAGAACAGAACAACGTTTATGGTGCTTTCAAACTTTGTAAATGTAATAGTCTGTTCTCTTAAACTGTAATAATTTTTTTTTAAATCTGTTTAATTCTCTGTATCGCTGAGAACTTGATCACAGGTGTCTTGGAACAGTCTAAAGTAATTAAAGAGAACTTAACTTGGACTGTTCCTCCCCATTTATCAGCTGGCTTAATTATGTTTTTTTTTTTTTCATACGGTCTAAAGATTTCTTTTCCTTTTTCGATAGATTCTTTTCGTATTCGTTCACCTTTTTTATTTTGTCTACTTCTTTCATAACCATGATCTCGAATGTTTTAATTTTGATCCGAGATCATGTTTCAGAAAGCAAGTTGATATCTCTCTGTAACGGTACCCTCGGCATCAAATGTACATACCGCCGTTTAGTGAATCCTCCCCTCTCGCAATAACACAGGCTTCATTCGTATCAACTGCAATCATACGAACCGCAAACAGGGGAACGCTGTAATCTCCCGAATGGGACCCGTACGGGTACTTCACTTCCCGAGCTCCAAACTCCCGAATCGCCACTAGTAGCCGAACGCATATATCTCCCACGCGGCTAATAATCCCATCCGGCAGTCTCTATTCGTCGGTAATAAATCCCCCCAATAACGAGACCAAGCTCTGCATTGAGGGTAAAACATGAACTGGGTTTACTGTGGGCTACCCGCCCGTATTTATGCAGGTCTCCCACTTGGTGGACACTCCCCTAGGGGACCAAATGGGAGACTGTAATGGCAGATGGACATACGGCATTTCAGGACATACAGGCACATAATATACCCAGCATGCATCATGGTTTCCTCCCTTCTGCCCTGGAGATAATTGAGAAGTAATTCAATTATCTCCCAGGACAGAGGCAAATCGCCATTTTAAATACAACACAAAAACACATAAAAATACATAACTTTATAATTGTCAAACATTTCTCATTCGTATCACATATCACCAGATAGCCTGGATCTGAGTGCATATTATTGGCGAATAGCGCTCAGATCCCATACGCATAGTTCAATTGCCATGGAGTCAAAGTCTATTACAGTCTTTCGGTATGCGATTGACTCCATGGGAAGGCTATCTGGGTTAAGTCCATTTGTGCATTTCAAACTCCCGAACGGCCGGTGTTCGTGTACTTCTGTCGATTGAGAAGAGAGGTCGGTGGCTTCAGCGGTGTTCGGCGGAAAAATGTGTCCGTTTTCAGTTCCATAGAATCTGGGCCGAACACTGCTGGTCTTTCGCTTGTTTAAAATGGCCGCCGCCTCGTGGTCGACATACGAACGACGACCACCCTGCATTCGGTTTTAATTAAGAAGTGTCTGCGGTTAACCACAATATTCTAATTGGGATCAAGAGGTTAACCAGCAGCACACTTCTCTTCTGGGTGGCCGTCCGTTCGGTAGTTTTGTTTGGCAAAAACGTCAATTATACGAACAGAGGCATACGAATGAGTAATTCCACGAAAAAGGCAAAACAGAGAACCAGCAATCCCAGTCTATACATAATGTATGTGTATATTTGTCACTGCACACTCGCATTGTTGGCTCCTCTTTTTCATAAAATTTTTTTCTGGGATAAGCGCCTAATAAATTGGTTTATATCCACAAAAAAAATCTACCGTATATACTCGAGTATAAGTCGAGTTTTTCAGCACATTTTTTGTGCTGAAAAAACCCCACTCGACTAATACTCGAATTAATGTCTGTATTGTGGCAATTTACATTGCCATAATACAGACAAGGACCGCCGGGCTCATTACAAGCCCGGCGGTCCTGTTGGGGGCTGACAGTGAGAGGTTACTTGCCTCGCGAGACTTCCAGTGGGAGCTGTCAGAGGAGCTGCACGGAGGAGAAGGGAGCTGACAGGAGCTGCAGGAAGGTAAGTAACCTCTCACTGTCAGCCCCCCCTCCTACACAACCCATACACTGGACCACCAGGGAGTGAGAGCCCCCCACCCTGGCAAGCTAACAAGCAGGGAGGGGGGACGAAAACTAAATTAAATAATAAAAAATAATAAAATAAAAAGCTTAAAATATTAAAATAAAATAAAAAACTTAAAATATTAAAATAAAATAAAAAAATTAAAATATTAAAATAAAAAATGTATAATAAAAATGCCCTCCTCCCACCCAGTTCACTCGCGCACACACACACACACACACACCTACAAACACATACTCTGCATTAAATACACACACACTCATACAAACAATCTGCATTCTACACACAGCTTAAAAGCCAAGTCTAGAAACTTTTAACACATATTCTGTTTCATTACTGTTTCATTGCTGTTTCTTAAAACCAAATTGTTAACATAAAAATTTGTGAAGGAAGAAGTAAGGGGAAGAGAAACTGAATTGCAGATTAGGAAGAAAAAGTGAAGGGAGACTAATTGACTAAACCCTTGTTCTTAGTGAGCAAAACAAGGGAAAAGATGGACCATAAAGCATTATAAATGCTGTTTATCCAGTTATCCAGCCCTGAAAAATCACAGAAGCAATACAACTTTGAAAAAATACCGGCACTCCAAGGTTTTAGTAAAAGATAGAATCTTCTTTATTCTTTCAGATCCAATCAGTCAACGTTTCAGCTCTTAAGCAGAGCTTTCATCAGGACATCATGTCCTAAGGAAAGTTCTGCTTAAGAGCTGAAATGTTGACCGTTTAGAATCTTCTTTATTCTTTTCAGATCCAATCTTCTACTAAAACCTTGGCGTGCTGGTATTTTTTCATTACTTATATTATGTAACCAGAGCACCAGGTATTTATCATGTGAAGTTGGAGTGCAGGAACCTTGGATGTACAGGTGATACTCGAAAACTTAGAATATCGTGCAAAAGTTCATTTATTTCAGTAATGCAACGTAAAAGGGGAAACTAATATATGTGATAGACGCATTACATGCAAAGCAAGATAGTTCAATCCGTGATTTGTCATAAGTGTGATGATTATGGCTTACAGCTCATGAAAACCCAAAATTAACTATCTTGCTTTGCATGTAATGTGTCTATCTCGTATATTAATTTCCCCTTTTACTGAGATAAATGAACTTTTACACGATATTCAAATTTTTTGAGTATCACCTGTATATCCATGCAGCTCCAGGCCCGATGATGATGATATTAAAAAAAAAAAAAAAATCTTCACATGCTTTTGCTTAACTATGGAAACTTTAAGAGGGAGGTAAAGGAACAAAACTGGTGTTGATTGGCTGACAATTAGAAAAGCTGACTGCGGCGGCCACCCAGATAGGGACACGGAATGCTGTGAGTGAACTGGTTTAATGAAATATGGCACATGCAATTTATACGCATGTACCAATACAAACTCCTCCCTGGCGTCTGTGTCTGGGAGATAATTAAGTGTGCTCTGCTCCCACAGAGGTACAGTGTTCTAAACACCCCATAACCTATATATAATATTACACGAGACCAACATAAGCCCTATATCCCTAGATAGCCTGGATCTGAGCACCCAAAGTGTTCAAATATTGCTCAGATCCCAAGAACCCCACCAAATCACCACCAGGGTAAAGTTTTGACTGACCGCACACGTGACGCCTGCCCAAAATAGTTCCAGGAGAAAAGTGGTGGCAGTCTGTCTCTTTCGGGAGTCCAAAAAGAGCGAAACACCAAACAGATTCTTTGGCTCTTAGGTAGTGATTGTTCGCCTAGTTTGTGTGAGAAATCCTACCGAACAGCGCTCTCCTGAGATGTGAGGGAACGAAGCAGGCGATGATGGAAGTTCAGCGTTGTTCGCGAGTTAATATGTCCGATTTCAGTTCCTTGCACTGGATGCCCGAGCACCGCTGCCTGCTTTTGTGGGACAAGATGACCGCCAACTCATTTCCCACGTGCTCGTTCATGTGAATGGCAGCCACCCAGCAGAACACTTGAAACAGTGGGGTGTAAACCGATATTGGAGGTATGAATAGGGGACAACAGGGTTAAAAAGCTCCAAGGTTGGCTGAGTACGGGAGGTATAGAAAATGGGGATATCATGGGTTTGTTTGGGTTTCGAACTGGAATGGGAAAATCATACGAACAAAGTATTGTCAGTGACAGGGTGTTCTGTCACACTGACTTTGTGCATTATACAAATGCTCTTGCCCTTCAGTCTCTCTAACACTGTGGCATGTTTCCTTTCTTCCACACTCACTACATACACTCTTTCTCTATCCCAGGCTGTATAACAGGAGCTTCTGACTGCTAGTAAGAAGGTTAGGAGAGGAGTGGACAAGCGAGTGCTAGTGCACAGTCCTTAGAAAGCATAGAGCTATTGCATCATTAGATGGATTTATGCCAAGCTCAGCATGCTGTCTGCACAGTATGACCTTGGTTGGTCAGCCTGCACAATTGGCAAGCAGCCTGACGTTCATGCACATCAGACTGACCATCTAATTCTTGCCCCTTTTTTAGGCATTTTTTTTCCTTTGCACGGTTCTGGTTACGTGATTCAGTGGCCCACCCTTTTAACCCGCTCACCAAAATCCTCCTGTGACAAAACCGACCTCGCCACTGGGCATTGGAGAAGACTGATTGCCAGCCTCCTGCCATGTGACTATGGCCCCTGGGAGATTTGGCCCTTTAAATACAGTATTTGGGCATATCGTATTTTATTATGCTGCTGCTGGCCCTTTAAGAACCATTTGGGGACATACTGTGGAGTTACTGGGTGGCCACCATTTCATGTATCAGAGGCACATGGTGAGAACAATGGATGAAGCACATGGTGAGAATAATGGATGGCGGCCATTTTAACTCACAGACACTGTTTGTACTTTTCTACACGGTGCCATCTCGACAGTATTTGGTGCACGAAGACATCGTTCATTAGTTTTAAACTATACAACAGGGGACACATTATACAGTAATTATTTTTCATTTAGCCTGTATCTGTTCTGCGGAATCTGCATTAAACTGCATCTTCCAAACTACTGAATGGATCTGGGTGAATTTTGGATATGTGGTTCACCCAGATATATAT